GTGTTTTTTACCATTGCTTAAATTGAACAAAAGTTTGATTCTCCACCAAAGCAAGACCAAAAAAAAGAAGAAGGTCGGATTCTTTTCTTTCGTGTGATGATTTCTATATATGTATTTGAATTTTTTTAATTTTGAAAAATAAAGTTAAAAATGTAGCTGCAAACTTTTGAAAGAATCACGAGCATCCCTAAATAAATAAATAAAATTTTGGTAAATAATAATAGTGGGGGGAGTGAGAGGGAAGAAGAGAGAGAAAGCACATGGGAGAGTTGCAGGCGGTTTTGATGGTTGGGGAACTTTGGAAGCGTGTGACTCTTCTTCTTCACCTTTTCTTCCTTTAGTATCCAAATGGACCCATCTCTCTGCTTTTATTTATTTTTTCTCTTTTCATTAACTCAAATAGTGTAATTAAGACAGTATATTATAGTAGGTGAAAACAATAATGCATTAAGGTTCTTCACTTCTTTGTGTCAAGGGGAAATTATAAAAATATTTTTTTGATATGCATATCTGCAAAAATATCATTTAGCGGTGTTCATTTGTAAAAATGTCACTAGTTATAGATTTTTATACTCTATTTTTTAAAATTCTAAACACTAAGAAATGTTTTGACCCCTAAACCCTTATAACTAAATCATAATAAAACATAATTAACCAAAACATAAATAATATAAAAGATTAATTTTGAAAAAGTGGCATTTTTGTAAAAATTTTAAAAATGTGGTATTTTTGTAAAATGGCACTTAAAAAGTGGCATTTTTAAAAATTTCTCATGTGTTAAAACATCGACCATAAACATACCTTTGGTTACCTCTTTTGATAAGGAGACGTGGTTCAACTGCTTGTTTGTTACCAATCAAACGATCGTTTAAAACGAGAATAGGACTTGCGTTAATACGCCAATATATACAATATAATAAAATAAATATTTTAATTTTAATTAGTAATCCGTTGAATTTTAAAATACTATTTAATGTGGATCATAAAACCAGTAGAAGTTAACTTATATCATAATTTTAATGTTAATCCATATCACGTAAATCCAAAAATATATATAATTGAAATTTAAATCATTTTCTTAATAACAAAGAAAAATCTATATTTTAATCCATTATGAATATGTATGAATTATGTGATAAAAAAATACTATATAGTTAAATCATAAAATAGAATTTTATGTTAGTAACCTCATAAAACTATAAATAATTTTGTGAACCATCACATAAGTACATGATTGATAATTTTATTTCATTAATGTCATCGTTTTATTTTTCATAGAGATTTATACTTGCTAAACTTTATACAGTCTTAACTTAATAGTAAATATAATATTATTATTTTTGACTTCTATAAATTTTTAATATTTACACTTGGACAGTACCAACGGCGTCATAAGTAAAAAAAATTCATTTTCTTTGTGATATTCTATAACTCTATATTGATAAAATAAGTATTTTTATATATTTTTATACACTTGGACAATACCATACCAAACTTTCTAACTTTTGTTTTTCCAATTTATATATTTTCTTTTTTATCATTCTTTTTATATTTATTTTAATTGACATTTTTATTTTGAATGTATTATTTGTTTCTTTTAATGCTTATGTTATGTCTATATTTCATCTTAATTTTTTTTCTTAATTAGTATGGAAAATATTATAAAACTTACTTTTTATTATTTAGTTGACAATAACTTTCCATTTTAAAT